TAAACATTATTTTCCTGTATATTTAGAGTCGCATTTAAGTGAACAGCTGCTGGCCTTAATGGCTCGAGGCTTCGAGACATTTGTCTTTATCTCTGCCTATCCTGATTTTCTAATTGCTTGATTTTTATTGAGTGTGGAGTTCGGCGTGTGGTAAAATATGAATGCGTCTACGCCTTCTACCAGATCTTTGAATTTACTATAATTGGTTGACTGCGTAAATGAGTGCATTCAACTCGATTGACACAGAGTTAAGGATATCTCATTTGCTGCTTATCTGCTATTTAGTTGGTCTCACACAATTGAAGTTTATTCAACTCGCACTCAATTGCCGATGGGGTTTATTGTGAGTGCATTCAACTTGCTGTCATGCCATTTGTAGATACCCAGCAGCGGCATACATAAATTGCTGCTTTAGGTAATTCTTTTGAGGTCATTTAACTGTGCGACGAAAGAACTGCGGAAAACATTTAAAGATTTAGTTGTATGTAGGTTTTAGTATTTTTTATTATTTGTATCATTGCAAATTTAAGAGAGAAAAGTTGTTACAAATTAACGGGAAATGTAAGTGCTAAATATTAAGTAGATACTAGATACTAGATACTAGATACTAGATACTAGATACTAGATACTAGATACTAGATACTAGATACTAGATACTAGATACTAGATACTAGATACTAGATACTAGATACTAGATACTAGATACTAGATACTAGATACTAGATACTAGATACTGGATACTATATACTAGATACTAGATACTAGATACTAGATACTAGATACTAGATACAAGATACAAGATACGAGATATTAGATACTAGATACTGTAGACTGATTACTAGGTACTAGATACTAAACACTCTCTAGAAACTGTAAACTTTACTAATACTAGAAATTATACTACATTGTCCCCTATTAGCCACTAAGCACTATTTACTATACTAATATATATTCTATGATATATACGCTCTCGTATTTACTCATAATTTAATACTAGATAGTAAGGTAAATAACTCACGTAACATCTCTAGGCCTGATAGGCCTTTCAGTAGAATAAGTTAAGTCCTTAATTTATTTATACCGAGTATTTGCTCAAGATTAGATAGTGGATAAAAATATAATATTCGAAAGTTCAATTGACGTCCAACAGCATAAAAATGTCACCCTTAACTATTCCTTAGTCTCTGAAAAGCACTTAATTTTCCTTTGAAAACTGACTTCTTTGACTAGCTATAGCAATGTGTGTTAAGTAGCTTTCACACATATAAATAGAGTAAGTCAGTCACTTAAGTGGAGCAATCTCTTGGAAGCGGCAAGCTTCTTGAGCTAATTAACATAACTGAAACGCTGCACATTATGAGCTGACAGTTGCAATGACAATAAATTGTCAAGGCTCTTGATACTTGCCTTGATTACAGTCTACTCGTATTTTAGCGAATTGCAATTTGCTCGGCCCGCGAAGCATTCATTAGCCAGCCATGCAGTTGATGACGCTGGGGAGGAGGAGGAGGTCGACGACGACGACGACGACTTAATTGTGCCAGAGATTCGCGAATTCTCGTTACGAGTTGAACGCCTGCTAATTGGCGAATTTCGTGATAAATTGCACGCCTTTGGGATTGCTCCGGTGGCGCCAACATCTGACGCCGTCTGTCTTTGGGCTTTTTTCAATAATAAATCAATTAATCAGGCTGCAGTGCTGCTTCCCGAGTTGAACTTTGCTCTGGCCTGACGATTGCGGCCGTTTCTATGGCTGCAGTATTAAAATGAATTGATGAAATCATTCAACAAATTGCTTGCCATTTGCCTTTATTTTTAGAATTTATTATAGTCTAAATGTTGCGAGTGTGTGGGCTTGCCCATGCGATTACAATTGAAATGCTGGCTGGCTCAAAGGCTTCGCGCCGCCAAATAGGCAACAACAAATAGAACAATTGTGGCAAATGCAACGACAAACAGGTCACATATGTGTCATAAATGTGTCAGCGCCAGCAACGCGCATATATTAGTGATAATAAATTTTGTTTTTTTGGCTTTGCCCCCATGTACTAACCGAAAACCTTCCAAAAAGGAAATGGCCGATGAGGAATAATTTCCATTGTTGCTGCTTGGGATTCGTAACAGCTGACAATATCAGCAGACGGCAAATCCAGCGATAAATATGATTTACAAAGCGCACTTTCCTTTTCCTTTTGGCCAACTCAAACAAAAACGAAAAAAAAAAAAACAAAAACCAAATACTGTATCATCAAAACGTAGCCAGACACAAAAATATTTGACGTTTTTGGCCCTCAGGCAGTGCACGAAAAAATCAACAAGCAAACATATACGAGGAATTTTTGAAATATGAACAAATGCTAGAAAAGTTTAAAGATAATGTTATAAGAAAGTGAATTTGTTACAGTCTTGAGCATGTTTTATTTGAAGTCTGTCAGACTGCCAAAACTTTGTCAAGTTTCAGTTGATTTTTGTGACTGGAAAAATGAACCAGCAAAGCTAACATAAAATTTTAAATATTTGCATAAATTATAAATAATTTTTTTATCAACTTTAGCTAAGCTGAATTATTATCAAATTGTTTTTGATTTGTGCTCTGGAATAATTTAATTTTATCATATTAATTTAATTTTAATTTAATTTTATCATATGTTTGCCTTAAAGTAAATTTATTGCTCGTAATAAGTTTCTGTGAATTTAATAATTTTCCCTCATTTATGTATGACTTAAGTAAGAAAATAGAGTGCTAAAAAGTGCCATGAAAATGTTATTTTCCTGTACTTTAAGCACAAGAGAAAATCCAAAAGGCAACGGAAACTTTTGAGAAGGTCTCTGCCTTAACTAAATGCTTCTGTCTTTCTCTCTCTGTCTCTATCTCTCGACCTCTCTTGTTCGCTCTGTCTGTAACGCCCAGACCATCTGAGTCTGTCTGCGACTGGCTTTTGTTATTTCACACATATGACAAACTTAAATAAACGTAAAACAACTATGAAAACTTTTTCAGTTTGCTGCAGGTGAAAACATTTCTGATGACTTTTTGAGCCGCTTTCAGCCTGCTGCTCAACCCAGTTCAATGCCGCATTTCTTTCCTGCCATTTGAGCTCTGAGCGCTTTGTTAGATGTGTCAACTTGTCATGGCGGCAGCCAGAAGAATTGAGTTCACACTCAATGCCGGTCGCTTGAGCTTTGAGCCAACATCAAAGCTGTCTGGTAAACCACATAAAATTTCCATTAAGCTCCTAACGGCTGCCTTATTTAAATCCTTATGTATTTATTTTCCATTTTCAGTATTATGCCAAATTGATTGAAACCCCATGGGAGACAGATGCAAATTCCTTTAGTTATGTCAGCTGACATACCAGGAGCTGTGAATGTTTACCATCAGCGTTAATAGTACTGCCCAAGTTGGAATTAGCCGAAGAGGAAAAATCAATTTGGCGACAGTTCGTGCCATAATGCAGACTTGAAATGTCATATTATAATATGTGAGACATCTGCGGCATGGCGTAGCCGCAATTCGGGGGCTCGATTATGAGCCTAAGTGTGGTTAAAGCAGAAACTGCTAAAAATCCAATCAATAACATTCTTTTTTATCACACAGGCCAGACGTGCCTGGCATGAGGAATGTGGGGAGTCGCATGGCAGAGCTATTAACACAGTCACGGAGACAAGGCGAATGGAGAGCCATTAGATATGCAAAGGCAGTCAACGAAACAGCCCCTGGGAGGATACCAGCACTCACGCCCATATACGGAACTTAGCTGAGCTGACGTTCAATAAACATTTCAAATGTTCAATTATTTTTCAATTGCATCGATTTGCGCTGAGCATTCAAATGTTTCGGGCTCTACCTAATACAATGTGAAATCTGCGACGCAAAATGACAACGAGACAGTTGATAATGCCCTCGGTGACAGCCGCAGCGTGTCGTGGGGCTGGTCGAGCAGTGTTTGATTTTTCGTGCTTCAATTTCGCACGTGACCCCACTGTATTAAAGGGAGTACATAGTTAGCCGGAAGTTATTTGACAGCCATTTTGTGTTGCCGCCAGCTAAAATGTGCCAGCCATTTGGACGCCACACAATTCCAAATCCAATTCAGCTGCTTTGCATTAAAGCGCAACCAAGACCCTAACTGAAGCACTATATTCGCTGGCATCTACACCACGACGACGTCGACGATGACGACTTTACTGCGGCTTACTCTGCGTATGCGTATTTTAGGTTGCGTGTGCTTGTGTGTGTTCGCCGGGTCGCTCGCCACAGTAAACAGGAAATGCTGACTTGACAGCGACACAGACCCTTGCCCACATATCCACAGAGCAGTCACCTCCCTCGCCCGTTCCCCACTCCTTGAAGAGGCCACATCAACTGCCATGGAAACTATTCGCTTAACCGCAAAACCAGAAACCATTTGGGCGACGAAACCCAACGCGATAATCCTTTCAATTCACTTGGACATTTTTTGTTGCTATGCTTCTATTCATTCCAAGCGGAAAAAAAAATTATAATGACTTTGCAATCATATTAAATGGCGATTTTTAAAACTGCATTTATGTCTAGCTTTGTTGTCATGGCGCCAAAGCAGCTTTTGAATTATTAATCCTTTAAATAGTCAGCGTATTATTGTTATGTCTTTATTTGATATTTTCACCGTTTATGTGGCACACATCAGTTCGCCTGAATAAATCATACGGCTATTGCCATAAATCACCCGAAAAAAGTAACAGCTAATCAACATGCGTTAAAAAAGACGAATAACGAACATGACAAAAAAATCATGCAAATTGAAACGGACACAGACACATATAAATGGCAAATACTATAATCCAGTGTATCAACATATGTGCCTGACTGCGTGTGTGTGTGTTGTTGGCTAAACATAAATCTAACCGAGAGCGCAACACGCAGATAGCCAAACGGTTTACGAGCGCCCAAAAAGGGTTTAAACATATTTCAACATGGAATTTTCAAGTGTATTAAAATGTTTTATTTTTTTCGCTTCTCATTGTTGCAGCAGCTGTTGTTGTTGGTATTTGGTTAGCAAAAAGTGTTTGCATTAAATCATTCGATGATTTATTATAGACTGCTTTGCTACGTGTGAGTCCATATGGGAATTTTGATGGCTTTCTATTGTTGCCAAGCTGCCAGTCTAGCCAAAAGTTTTTGCTACTAACAAATAAAGCCAAATCACAGCAAGCCTAAAGACAAGCATAAGGAGTAGAATGTGGAGTCGAAACTGAAGTGAGGGACTTTCCATTCATAAAAACAACAGTTACTTGCATTCCACACCGCAAAGACAGGCAAAAGCAAAAGGGCTGCAAGGTGGAGAGAGCCGTAGTGAGAGAGGGAGAGAGCTTTGCAGCGCTGCAGCGTCAACAAGTTTTTTCTCTGTCGGTCAGCTGTTGTGGACGCCAAGTGGATGCCATGTCTACTTAGTACACCAGTTGCGTCTTGTGGAACACAAGGCTTGTTTACAGCCGAAACAGCTGTTTTGGGCGCTGCCGCCGCCGCTGCCTCAGCCGCCGCGCTGGCAACACTTTCGTCAGGCGCACAGGAAACTGTTTCGTGTCGGCTGTCAGCGCGCGCCAACCAGATGGTCCCAGCATTTTTCAGCTTTTCAGTTGGCTTTTCATTGCGGCGCCGCACGCACGTGTCTCGGCAACGGCTACGAATCGGCATCAGTGGATATCAGTAGCGCCCCGTCTGACTGTGTGCTTGTGTTACGCTTCTCTGTGCTGTGCGTCGTCAAAAAAATATACAAAAAAAAACGAAAATAAATGAAAAAAAATATTTAAAATATAATTGAAATATCTCGTCTGCAGCGAACATAAAATTGATATGATTTTTTTTCTCGGCATCGTGCAACGATGATAAATGCCAGCTGAATTTTGACTTTAACAGGAATCGCGAAAGCCCCAAGTGAAGCGCTGCTTCAATTTTCTGGCTTTGGTTAGGTGAGTTTCTGGTTAAGCACAACTCAAAAACTTTTCGTAAAAGTTCGCAAAGCTGCTTTGCTCGAGGATTAGGAGCTTAAAAATCCATTGAATATAATCCGTGTAACGGTCACTGCACCACTGGATAAATATAATTTAAATGTGGATTTGCTGTGATGGGTAGGTAAGCTGTATGGATGCATGTAAAGCTATCAAATTTCTACCTTACATTTGCCCATACCTGGCCGAGAGCCTTAAGTTGTGTTCAAAGCTTTCCCCTGCCTCTGCTTAGCCCATAAAATTGCCCTCCCTCCACAGGCTCCACAACGCGCCCATCTATTCTTATCTGGAAGCAACGCGCTACACTCATGGTCATTATTATAAGTATATGCTTGGTTTCAGTTTATGATCGATGGGGCCACAAAAGTGCAATCGAAGTGCGTCCAACTATCAACTGGGGTGTAGTTTTTTTTAGATGTTCTTGTTTTCCCTAGCAAAGTGTGAATCAAATATATAAAACATATACTTTATAGTCCTTACAGCTGCGGCGTTATAAGCAAACAATAAAAGCGACTCAAATTGCTTGTACATCTGCTTTGAGAGACATTTCGGTTTCACTTGATTTCCGCAGGCCAAAGGGGAAATTCGCATAAAATTCAAATTTAAGCTGCGAAAACTCAAAAGGACAAGAAACATAAACTAGAAACCTGCACAAACCTTGAGCAAATAAACCTGATATTTTTATACTACGGCCAGATACTATCTGCTTTACTGTTGTTTTTTTTTTTTCATTTTTATAGTCTCACAATAACAGAGAAAGTCCAGCAAGTGTGGAAGGGTGAGAAGTCAACACGGGACGAGCGCAAACAATGCTCAAACGGCTTTGTGTTTGCCAAAATATATGCACAGATAACGTAAAGTTTTCTAATTTCCCAAAAGGAAATTGTCCGCCCCAAAGTTGACTTAGCATAGTGCAAGCCTTTTTCACACGGCCAACGCGCCTTCGTTTATGCAAAGCAACGCAAACCAAACTTCTGTCAATAAAAGTCACAATAAACATTTCAATTTAAGTGCTGTGAACTAGCGCCGACTCTGACCCTAAAAAAACAACAGCTGTTTACACTTAAGAAAAGTCTATCTGGTATTTTAAGTGCAGTATATTTAGTATATTTTTCTTTTTTTTGCTATGTGCCTAAATGTTTCGCAGGCGTTGAAATTGTAGAGGAAGAGCGTCGTTAGTTTTAATTGGCTTCGTCGGCGTTGACGCATTTATTTGGTCGCAATTTTTCTGGCGTCGTCATGAAACCGCAAAACATGTGCAGTCATTAGGAATGTATTGACGGAGAGTGCCTGACTGATAGATACCCTATAGAAAATCTCATTTTAGTTTGATGATATAGCACACAAATATATTGATTGAGCTCAACGTTTGCTATATGTACTTGGCTTTTAGCTGCCTTAAACTGCAGTTAGCAAACAGGTCCAGAACATCAAGCTACCCCGTTTATTTATCTATTTAAAGAGCATCTAAAGTCGTGTGCATAAATTTTGTTCTTTTTTATACATTTATTTGTCTTCATCTTCGTCACAGTCACAGTCACAGTCGAAAGTCAAATGTCAATAGCCTATCTAATCACAGTGTCGTGACTTGGCCTCTTCAACTCTCTCTCTTTTTTCGAACGGATTACATGAAACGCATCAAAGTTTGAGCATTGGTCAAGTCCATAAGTATTATGGTATAAGTTCAGCTAATTAGGTTTCAGCAATTTGCCAACGAGCCACGTTTATTGCCTATTGTGGTTGAACCCTGCTGCCAGTCCGTGCAAATCCAATGATATCTTCTCTTTGTCTAAGTTTGGCTAACCGACAGTTGCCAGGCTGTGATTGCCTGTGGCAATGGCTGCGCATTGTTTTAAAAACCTTAATTTGATTGAGGCACTCAAGCATTAATAAAGGATTTTAAATGCTTTAAGTATTTGTCGCTCTCAATTTTGTATTTGTTTTTCTTTTTCCCGGAATTCCTAATGCCATTGCGGCAATTCGTGCTAACATATTGTCTCTTATATGACCTCTTATGTGGCTTAACTGATTAGCTGTCAAAAAGTTGCGTATACGCCACATGTGCCGCATTTTTGTATATGCGTCATAAATTGGCTGTCTTTCCAGCGAAAAGACTTATATTTTACAGCTTGTGAAGACAAAACGAGCGAAAAAATGGAGAAAAACGGCAAGAGGGTGCCTTCTGCGACTTGGGTGAGGTGGTTGGGTCAGCTAGTGATAATTCGAATGTGTGTTGCCAAAATAAATGACTATGGACTTAGCCTACATTAAGAGCTTTTCACTTTCAAATGAGCCACGTAAAGTGTTTGTCTAGCCAAGCCCTGAAATAAATTTCAATGCCAAATTTTTCAATAGAAAACTTGAGAGTAAATGCTAGAAAAATATCAATATCGGTTGACAATGTTGTACCCCAATCAATCCATGGCCCGCGCCTTTGTTGCCAAGTTGTGAGGCTTTTTTGCATATGCGAACAGAACCCTAAATGGATCAATATTTCAAGTTGGGCCTTGCTCCACACTCTGTAGTCGAGGCCCAGTTGATGGCAACGTACTTGGAATAAATCAGTGCTAGCTGATATTAAGCACAAGCCAAAGGCAGCCAAACAGCATATGTGTCGGCAGCTGCAGCAGCAGCAGCACCAGCAGCACCATCAAGAAACAAAACAAACAAAATCTCTTACGATGCAATTTTATGTTGTGCAACAACAAACGCAAGGTCAGCGCCAGCCACTGCCACAGCCACAGCCACAGCTTCCGACTCTACTGATCACGTACCATCATCAGCGGATGTTGCTTCTCAGAAGTAGATATGCATGAGTGATGGCGTATCCATATTCCATATTATAAATGTATATTCACCAGCGCCCTCGCTCGCTAGTTGCTAAAGTGTTGCATAAATCTAGGCGAATATTACGCATACGCAGTGTGAATGCGAATGCGAATGCTCATGAAACAATCTGTCAGTAAATGCGGATGCGTTGAGTATGGCGGAATGCATAAATAATGATTATTTCATTTAAATAATAGTTTTGATAAGTGGCGCAGCAACAGAAGTGCCCTAAGTGCTGGCATTAAATGCTGTTATATGATAGGAAGCTCTAGCTGCTTGCTTGCTGCAGCATTAAGATTAATTCAAGTTAAGACTTTAAATTCATGAAGATTATCAATTTAAATACCCAACGCAGCTGCTGCTTGAATTAGTTAAAATTCGAATTTCAATTTATTATGCTGCAGGGCAGAACTTGTTTATCAAAAGCCCAGACTTGCATAGTAAATTTCTATTCTTGTTAAATTATCAATATAAGTATATATATATATATATAAATATATTGCGCCTGTAGGCAAAACCTTATTAGCCATTCTTTCAGTTTATAGCACAAACACTTTTCGGAACGGCACATTAAGCAAAGTGCAATAAACCATTGCATAGCAGGAGGAGCGTACTTTGGTGCCTTAAGCTCAAGTGCTTTGTTTACTTGACCAGCATTAAAGAAAAACTCTGGCAGACAGACAGCGCGAGACGTTGCACTGCTCAGCGTGAACAATAAAGCCAGTGGCAACAGCATCGACAATCGACAGCAAATATACAAAAGATATGGCAGACGACCCTCAAAAGATTATAAAAAATGAAGTACTAAACGAGTGGGAGTCAAAGGGCCTGGCCATTGTTCGCAGCGGGCATGGCGCTGTCTATTATTTTACGAAAATTGAACACTGTTCAGACAGTTAAGCAGTTTTCTTATCTTGGATTTCGTCGGCTAAACAATAAGTGCAAGATATCAACAAAGCTTGACTAATGCTTGAGTAAGAATTATTTGTCATGTGTTCCTAATAGATAAAACCGCGCACTTAGCTGTTTGGCTAATGTCTAAGTTATGAGGTTCTTGGCCCCGAATGGTGGCTGTTGGCTGGTTCGTATTTTATTCGTAGTAGACAAATGGTTGCTTTGGCTGCCTGATTTACATATGCTTAGCAGCTGTCATGGCCAAGTGCTAAGCGCAGGCATTTGCTATTTTTCAACGCTTTTGTTGTGTCGTCTTACAACTTACAACAAAAGAAAAGCCCGAAAATTGCATTTTATCAACGACACAAACATCAAGTGCACATGCAAGACAAGTCAGAGACAAATAATAACTGGGAATCCGAGGAGCCAAGGAGCTTGCTGTCTCTGCCTCTGTCTATGTCTTTTCTTTGGAAGTTGCAAATATATCCACTGACAGAAGCAGGAAGCACGGAGGACATTCTTATTACCTGATGTTGACATTTCTCAACATTGCTGTCAGCCAGACGCAAGACACGTCACGTTTGCGGCTTGTAAATGATCCAGAAAGAATTGTCAGCAGCTGCTCTTCGCAATCCAGTTCCTGACTGCTGACACGCTGCATTTATTGGAATACCTCGAGCGATGGCAAAACTCGATTCTATTTTAAATATTTGAATTTAATCAAACTTTCAGTTTTGACTTTAAAACTACGTCATTTGCTGTGTGCCCGCATCATCATCATCATCATCATCATCATCATCATCATCATCATCATCATCATCATCATCATCATCATCATCATTAGCATTAGCTTATTGGAATGCCAATTTGAGTCAATTATTCAGCGAACACACCTTAGCCCGCATCTGGTCTGTCATACGAGCTGTTAAAGGTGCTTAAGCTGCATTAGAGGTAGCGCCGCAATTGCCACTTGCAACGTGCAACGAGAGGTAAAGTTGCTAACTTGTTTTTCCCCTTTTTCTTTAGCTATCGCTGATTGCACTGGCTTTGCCAGCAGCTGGGTCGACAATTTATTAAATTCCCCAAGTGCCGCCCACTACTAAACAACTGGCTAAAGTCCATTTTCGACCTGGGCACGTGAAAAATGCGCTCGCATGCTGGGGTCAGGCAGGATGTATATTTATGCATGAGCAGCAGCAGTCGACCTGGTGGCGCCAGGGCAAACGCTATATGTCAAT